ATCCTCATGTAAACACCACCACCTGCAAAGTATGAATATCAATTTTTTCAACAAAATGCCTGCTGTGTATAAGCTACTGAAAGAAGACAAATATTAATAAAATGTGTCCCTCCTCTTAGATATCTATAATCTAGAAAGATGAACACATTCCTTTCAAACACTAAACTGCCTAAGAACAAGCATCAGATCTATCTTATTTACCACCACATCCCCAGAATGTTCCACAGTGCCTGACATGTAGTAGATGACCAGGGTTTATAGTCAGTGTAAGCAAAGAAATGAGTGAGCAAACATCTCTTAAAAAGAGCGGACTTTTAAAGTTAGCAAGCAGTGATGTGTTATTCAGTAGGCAAATAAGATAGTTTCCTAATTTCCTAACTTAATCTTCCCTGCTCCCTATTATGACTAGGTGTTGATTGGTGATAATTCACATGATTCAGTTATTTGGTTGGCTGATTCCTGCAGTTTGTACTGCTGTCCTCTAGATGAAAATTCTTTATAATTGTGGTTAAGTTGTGTGTTTGCAAGTGTGTGTGTGCATGTGTGTGTGTATGTGTGTTTAGATGGAATGACCCCTTACCATTATTGTATGTGATTTTTAGAATTGCCATCCTTGTTTTCTCCATGCAGAGTCCTGTTTTACTTTGGCTAAATTTCAGAAATAAAGTCACTTTTTTGTTAGAAAGTCAGTGGGGTTAGAAAGTCAGATGAGGTAAATGTTGTTTATTCAGTTCCTTATTTGTGGAATTTTAAAAAGCAAGCAAATAGATAATATGAAGAATAGAGAAAGTTTTTATGAATTCAAGGAGGAAGAAAAATTATTTGTGAATAACAACGTTCATTTCACTTACAGCTTCATGAATTTTTTATTTTTATTTTTGAAATAGTTGTCCTCCGTAAGTTTCTTCATTGATTCCATTGCCCTGCTATGTGTAATTTGACATTTGTTTGGATATGTAGGGTAGCCTGCATAGTCAGAATTTGCAGATCTAATAGTGCACATTTTATGAACTCTCTCTGAGGATTCTTTTGAACATTAGTTCTTACCTTGACAGTCAGATAAAATTAAGGGCTTGGGGAGTAGATTTCTGATGAACCAGAATAATGTCTTAAAAAAAAAAAAAACTTTATAAAAGGAAACAAACAGTAGCAATCTCCTTATGGGTACACCTTTGTATATTTTAATAGTAATATGGACAAGTTAGGCCCTCCACTTCGAACTGGAAGACATGTGCAAAGGTTGTATGACAGTGATACAAAATCAGACAGCTCCATCAAAAGACATGAGTTATTACCTATTTACAAGTAAGTATTTGTAACTCAGTTTGGTTAATTTTTTTCAGATATCTTTTTTAAAGCTTTATATAGGCCGGGCGCGGTGGCTCAAGCCTGTAATCCCAGCACTTTGGGAGGCCGAGGCGGGTGGATCACGAGGTCAAGAGATCGAGACCATCCTGGTCAACATGGTGAAACCCTGTCTCTACTAAAAATACAAAAAATTTGCTGGGCATGGTGGCACGTGCCTGTAATCCCAGCTACTCAGGAGGCTGAGGCAGGAGAATTGCTTGAACCCACGAGGCAGAGGTTGCAGTGAGCCGAGATCGCGCCATTGCACTCCAGCATGGGTAACAAGAGTAAACTCCGTCTCAAAAAAAAAAAAAAAAAAAAAAAGCTTTATATAATGGAGTACTATACTATTACTGTCTTGTACTTAAATCTGTTTAATAATTTCTAAGCCAAAATGTGCCGAATAGTCCAGGATTTAAAACATTTGAGATTATACATTTTATTCCATTAAATATTAATTTTTAGAGGCTTTAAATTGCAGTCACATTTAATAATTGTTTTTATTAAGTTCTTCTTTAGGAGTAATTAGGATTTTTTAAATAGTTTTAAAAAATTGAGTTTAAGAAAAATAATGTCTTGTGTAGTATATGATGTTGTTAGATTATCTTTTAGATAAGCAAATGGTGAACTATTATAGAAAGCCAGGAAAAAAAAGATTTAGGGAACTTTCAATCCAAGGGTCCTTAGTCTTTTCTTAGATGGCTGTAAATTCTGCCTACAACCTGGAAAGAGTATGACACTGCTGAATAACTCTTCTTTCAGTTCTGGCCTGCTGGCTGAAAAGAGTGTGGCAATGGCAGTTATTTTGAAACTCTACAGCATGAATCTTCAAGGTTTACTAATTTGGGTCTCAATTCTAGCCCTCATATGAAATTAAGGCCTAAAAATTAATTTACCTATTAATGGTAGAATATATATTATTAAACAGAATAAGTTAGTTAACTTTTAAACCAACACCTATTACAACAGTCTGCTCACTATGTAGGTAGGAAAAGTAATAATAAACTTAACTAGATAAACAAAGATAGGAGAGGTCTTTGCGATACTAGCAGCAGCCATTTGTTATTTATTTATTTATTTATTTATTTATTTTTTTTTTGAGACGGAGTTTCACTCTTGTTACCCAGGCTGGAGTGCAATGGCGCGATCTCGGCTCACCGCAACCTCCGCCTCCTGGGCTCAGGCAATTCTCCTGTCTCGGCCTCCTGAGTAGCTGGGATTACAGGCACGCGCCACCATGCCCAGCTAATTTTTTGTATTTTTAGTAGAGACGGGGTTTCACTATGTTGACCAGGATGGTCTCTATCTCTTGACCTCGTGATCCACCCGCCTCGGCCTCCCAAAGTGCTGGGATTACAGGCTTGAGCCACCGCGCCCGGCCATTTGTTATTTTTAAGTAGTTAGTGATAAATCCTAGCAGGAAGAGTTTATGCCACAAGCTGTTTTTCATTGTGTTGCTTCTACTGTCAGAACCCTCTGAAGCAGATCTCACAGTAGCAGTGACTAGCAGTAAGATGGATTGAGTAGAATTCCAAAATTAAACCTTTAATTATTCATATGAGCTGTAGCAGGTAGATTCTAGATGCACAGTAAGAGTAATGCTTTTCAGATTCTGAACAGGAGGAAAAATCTGTGGCCTGTGTAAGACTGGGGCAAGTTGTTTTAAGTGATCAAGACAGACAGTTGTGCTTCCCAATCTAAATGATTCTTGACTTTCAGATTTCACCTCTTAAAAGATGTTACTAAAAATAAATGACAGGTATTTAATATTGGTAGCTATTAACGATGATAATCTCTTACATTTTCCTCTAAATATAAACATTTTGAACAACCTTAAGTTACTGATATGGTGACATTATGTGTATGTTCATGGGTGTATTTGTATTGTATGTATAACTTATGCACTTAACCCCCTCCCAACCCCCCACCCCCGCAAAAAAAAGTATTCTTCCTATTTAAATACCATTCTTTGACAATGATTTCTTAGAGACTGAATTTCTAGAAAGGGACTCTAGTAGTTCTACAATATCCCAAAAGAGGCTATACAAAAGTAGAGTACACCTCATGGTTGGATTTCGAGTGAGCATTTGAAGAGGTGCAGGGCATTCCATTCATGCACCGAGGTGATTCTTTGCTTGCTGAAGGTTAGAAGTAATTTAAAGAAGCAACCATGCAAAGCAACCACTTTGAATGACAGCATTGTATATTGAGTATGAGTTCTGTAATATATCCCACTTAAGTTCAAGTACTGCTCTGGCCACATAATAGCTTCACAATTTATATAATCTCTCTAAACACACTTCCACTTTAAAATAGAAATAATATCTTCTGAGATCTGGGGGACATTAAATAAGGTATGTGTAGTACCTAGCTTCATATTTGTCATGTAGTAGATCTTTGAAAGGTAGTGGATGTTGTTGTTACCTGCACGTACTTTGGAAGCAGCTATTTACAGTTTTAGGGTACTCTCTCCTACTTTGCCATATAAGTAGAGTAAGAAGAATTTCAATCAAAATTTAAGAATCTCTAATCTGGAGGTATATTTTAAAATACTCTGCTTGTTCATATAACACAACACTGCTTACCTATGAAATGTAAAGATTTGATTAAAGCTGTGTAGAAAGAGAGGGAACTATGCTTTAATGAACATCTAAATCCTAGCTTTTCAACATACTAGCAGTGTCACCTTGGGTAAGTAACTTAGGGGCTCTTTACCTCATAGGTCTCATCTGTAGAAGAAGTTAATAATCCTACCTATTTCATAGGATTATTGGGATAAATAAATTTCTATGTGCAAAATAATTAGAATTGTATTTGGCATGGAATAAGCACTATTATATAAATGTAAACTTGTAGTGGCAATAGCAGTAGTAATAGTATTATCATCAACTATCTAAATATTTATATGAATTGTACTTTTTATCTCATAACCTGTCTTTAAGTGATCATTTTATAAATGACGAGACTCAGATTCGCTGTCACAAAGCTGTCAGTAGCATTGACATTTGCATCTAAATTCATCTGAATTCCCAAGCCTCTACTTTTAGTGTTATATCATCATTTAGCTTTCTAAACTCTCTTTGATTCTTAAAGTTTCAAAATGGAGAGTCAGAGATGATCCAACGAGAAGTCTCTCTGATTTTAGATTGCCCAGGGAATGTTATATTAACTCATTTATTTTAGTTGCTGCTTTTAAGAACTTTCATAAATTGAATATTATCCTTTAATGTGACTACCAAAAGAAATTCTTTTTTAACCACAGCATATTTGCCTAGAATAATAATAAAATGCATGTTTATTTAATAGTTGTCAATACACATTTACCAGAATATATGTTTTTAGGGAAATAAAGTTTTAAACTTTTTAAAAATGTGTCTTTCAGAATGATTACTTTAAAAATTTCATGTAAAACATATATACATATTTTAGTTGATTTTATTTGCTGTGAGGATAGGGTTAGTAACTGCAAAATTATTTGGTTTATCTTTAATATTAACTACTATCTGTTTTCAGATTTAAATTAATTATTGGGACTTTAGTCTTTTGAACTTCTCTGAAGCTTCTAAGTATTCTTTCTAATCATGTGAATACGTAATTTGAGAAACAGATGCTCACTGTTCAATACTTTTCCATTATTGTTTCTCTTTTTTTAGAGCTAATGTCAAACCTCGAAATTCCACACCACCTAGTTTGGCAAGAAATCCGTCCCCAGGTGTGCTTACAAACAAAAGAAAAACATATACTGAGAGCTACATAGCCAGGTATGTTTAACTCTGCTATCATAATAACTAAAATAAAAATGAGTATAGGGTAGTTTTCCAAGGACCATATACAAACTAAGTAACAAGCTATTTATAGAAAACCTGATTTTTTTCTTTTAATCGAGCTTTTAATATTGTACATTTCTAATGGATTTGGGCAAAGTAATCTGAAAACCTTCTATAAAGGATTAACCATTCTATATGCCACTAAGAACGTATGTGATTTATGGGAAGAGGTCAAAATAAGTTTGGAAGAAGTTGTTTCGAAACTTCATGGATGACTTTGAGGGACTTACGACTTCATTGGAGGAGGTAACTGCAGATACACTGAAAATAGCAAAAGAACTAGAATCAGAAGGGAAGCCTGAAGATGTCATTGAACTGCTGCAATCTCAGGATAAAACTGAAATGGATGAGGAGTTGCGGTGGCTCACATCTGTAATTCCATCACTTTGGGAGGCCGAGGTGGGTGGATCACCTAAAGTCAGGAGTTCAAGACGAGCCTGGACAATATGGTGAAACCCTGTCTCTACTAAAAGTACAAAAATTAGGTGGGCATGGTAGTGCATGCCTGTAGTCCCAGCTACTCTGGAGGCAAAGGCAGGAGAGTTGCTTGAACCTGGAAGGTGGAGGTTGCAGTGAGTCGAGAAGATGGGGCCATTGCACTCCAACCAGGGTGACAGAGCGAGACTCCATCTCAAAAAAAAAAAAGAAAAAAGAAGAAAAGAAAGATAGAAAGTGGTTTCTTTTACATGTAATCTACTCCTGGTGAAGATGCTGTGAGCATCACTGAAATGACAATGAAGGATTTAGAGTATTTCATAAAATTAGTTGATAAAGCAAAGCAGAGTTTGAGACAACTGACCCCAATTTCAAAAGAAATTCTGTGGGTAAAATGCTCTCAAATAGCATCACATGCTATGGAGAAATGATTCATAAAAGGAAGTCAATCGATGTGGCACACTTGCTTCATTATTTTATTTTAAGAAATTGCCACAGCCACCTGGACCTTCAACAGCCACCATCCTTGATCAGTCAGCAGGAATCAACATTGAGGCAAAACCTTCTACTTGAAGATAGTTTACAACTTCCTGAAAACTCAGATGATTGTTAGAATTTTTTAGCAATAAAGTATTTTTAAATTGTGTACATGTATACATTGTTGTTTTAGACATAATACTGTTACACACTTAAATAGACTACAGTATAATATAAAATCTTATTATGTACTGGGAAACCAAAAAAATTTATGTAATTTGCTTTATTGTAGTATTTGCATTTTAGCAGTGGTTTGGAACCAAACCTGCAGTGTCTCTAAGGTATGCCTCTACATACCTTCTTTATAAAATAAAAACTTTAATATTATGAAGCTGTCTTGTACAGCTATCTATTCTCCTCAAAATTAATGTATAAATTTGTGAAATTTTCAAACAAAATTTGTGAATCTTGACAAGTTGTTTACAAAATATATATGAAGCACAACAGCCTAATATTAGCCAGGACAAGTTAAAGAGAAAAATATGTGAATGATGTATGAAGCTGTAGTAATTAAGGCAGTGTGATACTGATTCAAGAATAGACAAACAGAACAGTAGATCACAATGGAGTGTTAATCAAGAGAACCCAGCCTCATAAGTAACTGGAAATTTGCCACATTTCCGAAGTAGCAATAGAGATTTGGGAAGTGGGAGTACTCAGACTATTGGGCATCCATATGTGGAGAAAAACTTTCTACCTCATATCAGGTATAAAACAGTCAGTTACATGTCAACAAAATTAGTCCTAAATGTGGAAAGAAAGGCTATCCAGATTTTAGAATAAAACGTAAGAAAGTTTCATTTTCATCTGTGTTAGTAAAGGATTTCTTGAATAATTTAGCAAATGCAAATTGCATAGCAAAAAATTGATATATTTGATCCTGTCTAAATGCAAACTAGTGCTATAAAAAGCTCCATGGTTAAAATGAAATAGCATGATTGCTTGAGAGAGGATACTTACTATATACATAAACCAACAAATTATTGTCTAGGAATTGTTGGGAATTTCTACAAATAAAGTTTAAAAAAAAACATACAGTAGAAAATGGCTTTGGGTTTCGGTGAGAGTTGGGAATAGGGAATAGTCAATTCACAGTAGAAAAAATCCAAATGGCAAAAACAAACAACACAAACATGAAAAAATATTCAGTCTCACAATCAGGAAATGTACATTAAATCAGTGGTAGACTAAACTACCATCCATTTCACTCTCATCAGGTCAGCAAAACCAAAAAACTCTTGACAGTGCAAATGGTGTTAGAAAGTGTAAGGAATCAAGATATTACCACTGGGGGTATAAATTTGCCAACCACTATGCAAAGAAATTAGGCAATATCTATTTATGTTGAAGTTTTGATATTTGTTAATGTTAGTATGTGTGTTGAGTTCCTTGAATGTGTGTACTCTAGCATTGTAATGACCTTTTATTTTTTGAAATAGTTCTTACATATGTCATTGACAATAAAGCTGACTTATTTTCCCTTGGCACTCTTTCTTGCCTGGGGTTATGTATTCTAATGCATTAGTATCTTCTTTGTAGTTTAAAGGAATTACGCTTATGCTGTAAATTTGCTCTCAATATCTAAGAGAGTATGTTTCTTGATGCGGCAGTTTGCAGTAATTCTACAGCCTCTCTCTAGTGGAGCTTAAAGAGGAGGGAAAGAAGTACCATAAAATGCTGACATTTACCCTTATTTTTGTCTCTTTTAAATCACTAGTACCTTTCATTAGAAAGTCCAGTTTTTGCTTGTTTTTATCACTCCTAAACTGCTTGTATGAAAGATGCACCCAAACTGAGTAGCACCTAGAATTCTTCAATAACTACCTCTGTGGAAAAAAAAGGAATTTTTTTTTCAGTAATGTCATGCTTATAATCCTCCTAGCGATTAAAAGGTCCCTTTCCAGGGACTTTAAAATAAGTATCATGTTCTCAGAAGAACACATGCCACTAGGGAATGTAAACATGTTTTTATAGGAATCAAATAGCTGTTCTTCCAATTAATTATTTCATCAGTAGAATCTGCATTTCTTTAATGTCTGACATCTGTGATAAAACCTTTATAATCTCAAGCTTTTTGCTCTAAAATGTTGTTATAGTGTGTAGTTTAGCATCTATTTTACTTTTATTAACATGTTTTGTTAATGGAGACCTCCCTGTGAGGGTATGCATAAGAGCTTGTTTTAAGTATTTATTGCATCACAATAATTTAATACAATTAAATAATAAAATTAAATGCTACAGGTATCACCTTACAATCCTTGTGACCAAGGAGAGAGACTTGAAACCTAAGGATTTCTGTCTTTCTTCAGGGTTGGGTTTCAGTTTTCCCTTTAGAGATGGGTTTGCAGAAAGGACGTCATAAATGTTCATTCTGCTCCCAATGTGGTAAATTCCTAGCACAAAGAGATGGAAGGGAATGTGGTTTGGATTTGTGTCCCTGCTCAAATCTCATGTGAAATTGTAAACCCTCAATGTGGGAGGAGAGGCCTGGTGGTAGGCAATTGGATCATGGGGGCAGACTTCCCCATTGCTGCTCTTGTGATAGTGAGTGAGTTCTCACCACATCTGATTGTTTAAAAGTGTGTAGTACCTGCCCCTTCTCTCTTCCTCCTGCTCCTACCGTGTAAATCATGCTTACTTCCCCTTTGCCTTCTGCTGTGATTGTTAAGTTTCCTGAAACCTCCCCAGCCATGCTTTCTGTACAGGCTGCAGAACTGTAGATCAATTAAACCTCTTTTCTTTATGAGTTACCCAGTCTCAAGTAGTTCTTTATAGCAATGTGAGAATGGACTAATACAGAAAGCATGGCTGCAATTAGTCATGATAAATTCTCCTAATGCATATAAATATAATGTTAAAGAAAAAATTTTAGAATTATAGTATTTACTAACAAGGATTTTTTAAAAAAAATTTGAACTAAAGGAATATTTAAAATGAGATTAAGGAGGCTAATTGTTACACTTACGTCGTGTTTATCCAGGGGTCTGAGTTGAAAACTACTGATGTGAACTTAACCTTTTCATTCTTTCTTTACATTTTTAGGCCAGATGGAGACTATGCATCTTCCCTTAATGGTGGAAATATTAAAGGCATTGAAGGAAATTCACCTGGAAACTTACCAAAATTCTGCCATGAGTGTGGGACTAAATACCCTGTAGAATGGGCCAAGTTCTGCTGTGAATGTGGCATTCGAAGAATGATTCTATGAATAGAATCTCAAAAAAAAAAAAAAGCCAAATTCGGAGTTTATGATTATTGCTGCTTAGACAGCTAGAGCAGTCACTTCCTGTAGTTATTTTGTGCTAAAAATACTCAAAATACCATTTCCAGTAATTTTGGAGCATAATCTTTTGGCTATATAATGTGTATGTATTTATATGTGTACATATACTGTATATAATAAATATCTCATATCCCAGACTGTGCCATTCAAGGAAATATCACTTATCACTCAGAAAATAATTTCAAATGGAATGATTAATTTAGGTGTTACTTTTCTGTTGTTAAAGTGCATTAAGTACATTTCCATAAACTCTCATACTCTAGTACTTAGCCCTTCAAGCTTTAGGATAATTATAACTTTGAGCAAAAAATTTGAATAAACATTTGTGTCTATCTTAAGATAGTATCATAGTAGGATAGATGCTGGGAATTTTGTAATTAAAGAGAATCGTTTTAGTTACCATTAGGTATGTAAGGTCACTTTCCTGTAGAGCATGTCAACAACTTATTTTATAAATCCTAAAAACTAAGAGAAAAAACACTCCTCTATTACTTATATAATTCAAACATCTTACTCATTTTGTAAAAATGTAATTATGCAACTTCCTTTTCAAAAACACAAGACTAAAAATACAAATCCATCTTACTTTATTTATAACTGATTTTTTTTACTTCTGTATGTATTAGTTGATCATATTTTTTTACTTCCAACTGTTTTTCCAGATTTCACTTTTTTCTTCCTTTTTCATAACCTGTGAAGAGTAGTTTTAATTTGCTAGTTCATTTTTTGCTGTATTTGAAAATGTAATTATTTAGTATAGAAAGCACAAAATTCCCAGCAAAATCTTACATGTTTAAAAACATTTAAATTTTTGTATCTGAATTTAGAATGAATTATTTTAATGCATTTTGAAACAAATCACCTCACCTAATCATAATAGTTGTGGTAACTAATCATTAGTGCAGAGCATGCAGATAAAAAGTATTTGAATTTTTTTTTCTGGAAGTAGATGTAGTTATGAGTAGGTTAAGAGAATATCTAATTTTCCTACTCATAGTTTCTTTAATGTATAATGTTGAAACACCATTCATGTCACAATAAGGACCCATTAAAAATGTATTGTTTTAATGCGTAATTTACTTATCTAATTCAACATACACAAAAATTTAATTATTTTTTCTCTTTAATCTGACCACAATACAGCTCTTAATCATTGTACTTTCAGTATAGCATAGTAATTAGTAGTAGATTTCCTTGATGGCAGCAATTCTGTAATTTCTGTTCAATCAAACGTAAGAGCTTTGATCTTACTATAAGGTACAAGCAAATCTTTTATATAATTCCTAGGTTTTGTTTATGATTCTGATCAACTGTAAGTCACAGTGTAAAGATTTGTGGCTTACATTTTTCTAAAATTTATTAACTTTTTATTTTGGGCAGGAGTTATAAACTTAATAGGAATTGTCATTTTACTTACCTTATAGTTTCTTTCCTGGCTTTTTACTAGTATTTTACCCCCAGTTATCTTTATTCAGTTGTATTGGTCAAAACAAATAGTCCAACTGAAATAAACTGTAATGAATTTAGAAGACGAGTGCACATATTAGATTTCCATTTCAATCACTTCTGTCCTTTCATAAATCATATGAAGAACTTGAAACTCTTGTTTTATCTAAGGCTAAGCACTGCTTTTTTCCAAAGTATTTTTTTAAGACCACATAATTTTTTTGTCTGCTCAAGGAAGGGATAGATAAGTAATTGGCACATATTTGTTTCTCACTGAATTTTACAGTAGTAAATAAACGTTATAATGTACCACATGGAGATGGGCTGGTAAGAAAACATCCAGTTCCAGAGCCCAGAGATTATTATAAACAGTGGGTGAAATAGATTTATGACTCTTGAAATATGTTGTGACAATGTATTTAAATGCATTTTTATATTACTTGCATATTTTATTCTCACACTGATTTATTGTGCAATAGTTCAGTTTTTTAAAAACTCGTCCTATGCATCATGTATTTTATTTTTATTTATTTTCACAAGTATTTGACAGTATGGTAGAAAAAAAATGATTGTAAGCTTAAAAATGTAAAAATTGCTTATGTATTATTCTGAAATGCATTAGGTTGAAGACGTAAGATGATATGGTGACTATTATTTCTTGTCCACTATATGTTTGTTTTTTCACCAATGTCTTCATATTTGAAACTATTCAATAAAGACATGAAACATAAAAATGCTAGTTCATATTCACTGATATCTTTTAGCCACACATAGAAAGATAGGAACTCCCCCAAAAAGATAGGAACCCAATGAAATATAATAAAATATTTGAAGTAAGAAATACAGATTTTAAAAAATAAAAAGTAGCTTTTCATTGGCTGTATTCTTATGCCATCAGCTTTTAAAAATGTATTACCATTTTATTGAAGTGTTTTCCAACATCAAAGTATTAGAAATGTTTTTGTTACAAGTTTTTCTAAGGCATTATCTTCATAGACAATACATTTAGCACATTTGTGATGTCAAGTTTAATAGAAAATATGGACATTCTACCTAACAATGCAGTTTAATGGCAAAAGATATCTGTGATGAATATTTAATATTTTAGACCATCATATTTAAAAAAGAATTTAGTGAAATTTCAGATTAGACATGTTTAATTTGTGCTCAATTTTCCTTAGGCTAGAGGTGAACACTTAACCATGAATAGAAGTTCTGGAGATGAAAACATGTCAGAAAAATACAAAGAATCATCAGAGCACTTGGGTATTTATTTTCATTGTATGTGTGTGTATTTTACATGGTAAGTATTTTTTAGTACTAAGATAGGTTGATTTCTTTCAAATGAGTATTATTGAATAGAGCTATGGAGAAACTAAAGTAAATCCATAAATAATTTTTATTTTCATTTAGAAAAAAATCAGTTAAATGTTACTCAGGATGCTCCTTATTTTAAACGCCATTTTGCTTAGCTTGTGTGTGAATTGCTCTTTGGCCACTAGAGGGTGCATTTGGATAATTATTTCATGATAGCATCGGCCTATTGTTTTTAAAGGCCTCTCAGCAATATAGATAGGATTTTTTGACAACGCAAAATTACAGAGATTTATAAAAGTAGTTTTCTTTGCTTTGTTGTGATTTAAATAAGGTGTTTATATCTTAGAAATTTTGCCCAGCTCAACTGGGTCGCCAGCATTGCAGTAATTGATAGAGATACTTAATAATTACACTTCACAATATTTTGTTAGCAAAATTATGCCTCTCAAGCATATCACTCATAGACGCTACATGGATTAGTAAATATTCCTTGAAGTATTACTTTAATATTTCATCTTAGTTCTACTATAGTTTAGTAGGTTGTAGTCTGATTTAAGATAAGGATATTTTTTTTCCCCCAATCCTCTAGCCTGATTTAACTTGATCTAACACATGAGAGAGTAGTCTATTTAAATATGAGGTAATAATTGGTTAGACTAACTACTGTAAAGTGCACAAAGCTAAAGCTTTATGCTTACCATTAAAAAATGCTTTATGTGCTCTTCATGTTATGCAGTGGTAGGGATCAAGAGAATAAGATGTGATTAAGTGTTTGCCCTCAAGTTGATCCAATTCATTTCGATAAACTGATATATAAATAGACAGTTACAATGTGGGACAAAAATAAGTGATTTGTTTTAATGGAACTTTTGTTTATCATGAAGGTACCAACAAAGTGTGGCAGAAATTAAGAGGGAGCTTATAACCATAAATTATACAGGTCACCATTTCCTATTTTCTTTTTTCTTCCTTGTCCCAGTGCTTGAGAGGAAACCAGATTATGAACAAGAACTATTTTACCTTTTAGTGGAGAAAGGACAATTTCCATTGGAAACAATGTGTGTGTGGTCCGTTTGACCTGTATAATGGGAACTGTTTCCGTAGTCCTGAGGACTGAGGAAAAGAGATGTTGAGTAAAAGTTACTGATAATTCCAGTTGTTCAATCTTATCTCACTTAGTCCTCTCTTTCTCTGCCCAAATACCTCTATTTCTGTTCCTCCTTTCAATTTGCAACACTGAGACTGGAGTTGGGAGACAGCCAGTAGTGCTGAATACTGTCGAGTACAGTTAACAGTGAAATGCTGATTTTCACTTATCAAATCAGCAATCTTAAATTATGATAAAACTGAAAACCTGTCATGGGGCATTAAGATGAATTCCCTTATGTACTGATGGTGGAAATATAAATTGATCATACTTTTTGAAAAGGTCGACTAAATTCACATTAAAAGCCTTTAAAACATTTGTGCTTCATAACCTAATAATTATATTTCTAAGACACACTTAGGGAAGTATAGGAAAATATGCAGAATATGATTAACAATACTATATAGTGATGAAATTGAAGAAATTATAGTAAATTGGCCATTAAAGCAATTTTCAATAATTTTAATGGCATAACAAGTTAATTGCTAAGATAAAAAATTTCAAATAATGTTTGTATATAAAATATTCTAATCATGTGAAAAATTATATAGAAAAAAGACTGGAACTATATTTCTCAATATATTGTGCTTATTTCTACCAAGGATATTTGGTAAGTCATTTTTTTTTATATTGTCAACTTGTAAATGCACATTGCCATTATAATTTTTAAAAAGCAAATAAGTTTCTGTTTTTCCAGGTTAATCATGCTCATCTGGAAACAGTTAATCTGAAACTGCCACCTTTTATATTGTTTTCTAATATTCACGAATGTCTTGTGATCTAGTTAAGGTAGTTTGTTTTTAAAATAACTGTATTGCTGAAAGTAGCCTGTTAACCCTAAGTATAATTTTAATGAAATTATTTTTTCTAAATTTCATTCAAGAGGACATTCTATTTTTTGAATTTTAAAATTTTTATTATTTTTTTCTTTCAATAAGAATTTATTTTGCACATTTTAAAAATTGCAATTTTCAGGATGTGTAAGAAAAACATTTTTCTAATACTGAAATAAGCATGTCTTTGGTATAGAAATCACATCCTATATGTGATCTTTAACTAAAAAACTAATCAAGATCTATTATCTAATATGCTAAACAAAACTATTATTCGCCCATTCATCTGTCCCCTTTCATAGCCCCATTTCTGTGCTTTAGAATACAGTTCTGTACACATCTGTATCTACAAGGAATTAAGATGCCATATCAAAGATGTCCAGAAGTTATATATGGTAGAGAATTTGTTGGCTTAATCCTCGACACATAACACAAAACACCAAAAGCAATGTAAGATACAGGACAAGCGAAAATAGAACATTGTCACTAAGGTCAAATAATATAAAAACAATCACATCATTTAAGTTTGATGCGTTGGAAACAAAGTAACTTCTTTATTATGTAAACAACTTGCAAAGTTCAAAAGGTAATAACACAGAGCCATAAATTTGATAAGGCACTTTAAAGATAGCAATCAAAAAAGTATGAAATACAAAAATTGTAAAAGCAGTAACCATATAAATAAGTAGGGGGAATATATGCATTCTTTCTAGTCATTTTCTGAAGGAAAGCCTTCTATAAAAAAAAAGAAGTACAAATATGTATATATTTTTAAAAGCTGTCATCAAAGTTAAGATCTGTATAAAGAGAATGTTTTCCTTGTTAGTAAAAGTTTGGATTCAAACATTTTCTGGAGAAACAATTACAATCTTCATGTTATATATAGAAAGAAAAATAGCTTTTAATTATGTTTGTCGACTTTTTGATTCAACAAACATTTCATGACTGAGAAATGTTTTAGGTGCTGAGAATATAGTGGTAAATAGAAGTAAATCAGAAACAATCATTAGCTCTAGAGAACTAAACCTAATGGAACTGAATCTGTCATTGGCAACCTTAAAATCACCTCTGGATGTCCTTAAGCTGAAGCTCAACTTCAAACTCTGACATGCTTGGCATCTTGTTGCAAAACAAATAATGATCTACCTAGTTTGCCACTGGTAGCACTTTGGCACTGTTAATATTAACTATCTACTGATGAAATTAATTTTCATTAAAGATTATACAATAGTTTAGAGACTAGAAAATATTCATGTATAAACAAGTACTGTTTAAAAATAAAAACAGCATCAGCATTCTGCTTTCACAAAAGCCAAGAAAATCAAGAAAAATTTCATTCTGAGTATATACAGAACTGCTGGAAAGAGATCACAAATATCATATATGAGGAAGAATAACTTATTACACAATCACTCTTAACAACTAAGCATGTCAAATCAGTCATCAGGTCTCAAATAATCATAGCCTTCTTTCAAGAAGTCCTTCCAGGTTTTAAGGAAACATGCATTTTCTGTACATTTGAAGATAAGCTCTTGCACTTGAGCTGATAATGCAGATGCGACATCAAGAAATATGGTTAATGAAAATGCTACATTTGTGATCTGCAACTCTACTTTCTCCTGTGGGTCCTCCATTTAGCCGTTGCTTCTGCTCAGAACTTGACCAGCCCAAACCCACTGAATGCCTGGGGAAGATGCTGAAAGGTGTCTGAAGATGAGGGAGAAGTGGGAGGTTCTGGGACTGGTGAAGAAACCCACAACTCCTCGAGGTCGGTCATGGGGAAGAGCTAGGGGCTCAGAATCCAACCAGTAAGAGGACATTCTAACACAGGTTTGTTTGTTTTTTTCTTAACTCTTTTTATCACCTCTGATTTTAAGAGTACAGGTAATACAAATAAAGTTTTACTCCATAGAACATAGAATAAAAACAGTTGATCTAAATATTTAAGAGCTATTTTGCCATGCTATTATTGAATTGGGAGGAATGTATATTTATATTTCTGTATATGAACATATATATGAAATATTTAGATCTGTTTTCATATGTTTGCCTATTTAAAGCTTAATTTTTTAAAAAGTTTTATTATTTTTCTTCTAATTATTGTCAAGGAGAACATTTCAAGAACTAGAAAGTCTTAAAAATATATATTTTTACTTATCTTCTCAAACTTATTATAGGGAAAACTCATGAACTCTGCAAGAAACTTTGAGAACTCTAAATTTTATTTTAATCATTAATTCTTTATGATTCACTTTGGAAACATGCTATTCAATTAACTATTAATTTGAAAATTCAAAAATAGTTTTTTCCACATGTGTTAATGTCAATGAAATCAAAACACCATTTGAATAAGCAACTTGTATGCTAGAGTTGCTCTATACCCTCTCTGAGCCAGTCTATTCTCATGCCATTCCCTTTTAGTAAACACTGTTATGTT